GTGTCCCCAGAGGCTCTGCACCCTTCCCAGTGTGGTGCAACCTGCATGATGGATGCTCCACGGCCAGGACGGACCATGCACCAAGCCACCCCGGCGCCACGCTCACCTCCTCGTAGTCATTCTCGGGGGTGAGAAAATCATCCACGATGGTGACCCGGTGTCCCAGCTGCTCACTGAGGGCATCCAGGAATCGGTCGGTGTCGCGGCTGCGTGGTGGCCTGGAGAAGGTGAAGAGCTTCTTCCGTCGTGACAGAGGGCTGAGCGAGTAGTCCCGGTGCTTGGGGGACGGGGCTGGGCTGCTGTCGAGGCTGATGTAGGGGTTGGACTCTGTGCTGCTTGGGGAGGCCACGCTGCTGTGCAGGCGGTAGTAGCACTGCTGGGAGGCCAGAGGGTCACTTGGCCACGAGATCGCCATCCCCGCTTTGCGAGCACCTGCAGGACAGAGCGCTGCCCAGGGGGTCCTGCACTGGGCACTGCCCAGAGCCCCCTACCCGTGGGCTGCAACAAGCCCCAGAACCGCACTGAATGTGAGGTGAGATAACAGTGCAGCCTGCGGAGAGGAGAGCTCCCCTGGCAGTGCCCTGTGCTGCACAGCAGTGCGCTGGAGTCCTGTGGGATTTGCCATCCCACACACTCCGTCGCCCTCCTGCAGACGCAGCTTTGCAGGAGCCATCGCTGGGCTCACATGTGGCACCGTCATTGCTTCGTTATAAAATGGCACCAAGAGAAAGATGTCTTTTCCTCTGCCTGGCCAGCACCATCCACCATCGCCTCAGACCCCCTCAAAACTGCTTCTCTCACACCCTGGGAAGTCAGACACTACCTGCAGCATGTGCCAGCTCTGGGGCTGGAGGCGATGCTTTGTGCAGGGCAGCATTACCCATCTTGCCAGCAAAGCTGCCGATCAGGCGGTTTTCTAATTCTGCGTAGACAGCCGACATCTGAAAAAAAGAGCGAAGAGCTGCTGTTGATGCCCAAATTGTGATGGGGCTCATGGAGAACTCAGAGACCTGCCATGTCCTGGGGACAGGACAGCCACCACAGACCCACCAGCCCCCAGTCTTTTGCTCTTTAAAGCAGTGCTTCACCCCAACCCAAGGCTGCTCTGCCTTTCCTGAAGCTCCCCAAGAGCCTCTCACTCGCAAAGCTGCAGGAAGACACTGACAGACACCAGCTTTATTAAAGCTGACTGATTGCCCAGGGAAGTGACCTCAGAGATGAGCTCTGAGGCAGGGATGTTGTTAGCCACCAGCCGGTATTGACATGCAGACATCCTTCCCCCGTTCCCTTTTTTCTGCTTTCCTGCATTAACATGAAAGGAGTCAAATTGTCAACCCTCCCTGTGAACACAATGGTCCGGCACGCATCGGCAAAGTGCTTCCCAGAGGTGTTCCCCCCACCAGCCCCACAAGATCGCACCATTTTGGGATTGGGCATCTCCGGGAGGGACGTGCCATCACCAGCCTGTCTCTCTCCGGGGATCAGGCGAACCGGGACCTCCACGGTGTCACTCTGGCCTGCTGGGGAAGGAAGAGACAAACCAGTGAGGAACCCCTCCATCTGCCTCTGCCCCCCAGGGCTCCCAACGGTCCTGACCCATCAAAGTCCCCCCCCATCTCCTGCTGGGACCCGGAGCTGTCCTCCCTGCCCAGGCATGCAGCGAAGCACTGGGAGCTCCCAGTTCTGGGGGTCCCAAGGGACTGATGTGGGGCAGCTGATGGCCCCATGCACGGGGTGTGTGTCAAACAGGGAACATCTTGCTGCACGCTTCCCCGGGCGGCAGCAGAAGTCCCGACCCATCAAAGTCCCCCCCCATCTCCTGCTGGGACCCGGAGCTGTCCTCCCTGCCCAGGCATGCAGCGAAGCACTGGGAGCTCCCAGTTCTGGGGGTCCCAAGGGACTGATGTGGGGCAGCTGATGGCCCCATGCACGGGGTGTGTGTCAAACAGGGAACATCTTGCTGCACGCTTCCCCGGGCGGCAGCAGAAGTCACCCGGCAGTGAAGCATGATGCGTGCTAGAAAACAAACACAGCTGAGACAAAATCCTCCCGTGCCTTGCCCTTTACCTCTCCATATTCAATTTCTTTCTCTATAAAATGAGAATATTATTTATTTCTCACTCTACCCAACTGGTAGATTTGGAAGCTGCCTATAAATCCTCAGCTCCTGGGCAATGCTGTGACTGCAGTGTGGTTAGTGTGTTCCTCATTAGTGCTGCACTCAGGGGGACAGTGCCAAGCTCTGCCAGCCCACCCCAGTACTCAGCCTGGCCCTGACGGCTGGTGGAAATACTGTGGGGGACAGTGCCAAGCGGGGGGTTTCCATCCCAGCATTTCAGGGGAAGAGACTTTGTGCAGGGCACACGTGGGAGTTTGCACTATGTCAAGAACTCTCCAGGTATCAAGACACTGCGGTGTCACGGATGTTCCTTTTTTCTTGGTTTCTTTTCCTTCAAGCTGTCTGGTAGGTGCTGGACACCAGGACAGTCAAGGTCACCACGTGTGGCAGTTGAGGTCACAGTTTCCAAAATCTGGTCCTGTTGGTCGCAGATGCCCAGGCAGCACTGGCCACCCCAGCAGTGTGCCCTGAGACAGGGCTCTGCAGGGGACATGAGGAGGGAGGGAGGGAGGGAAGTCTGGAACCCCCATGAAGGCACAAGGGAGCTCACTTGAAGTCAGGTTGATTTGACCAGTTCCAGCTGAAATTCAGTTTTTCTAGTTATGTTCATGGAGAACTTCTGTTCTGGGGTTAATGGCTGCAGCAGTATAAGCACTCAGAGATGCGTCCAGACCCCTGATTTATCTCCAAGGATGTGTGAAGGGCTGCTGGGAGGAAGCAGTCTGCAATCCCTGCCTTTCCCAAGCTGCCGGAGGGCAGGTCGAACGGATTCACATTCCCTTCAGCCACAATATTTCCACCCAGCCGTCAGGGCCAGGCTGAGTACCGGGGTGGGCTGGCAGAGCTCCGGAGAGCCCAGAGGAGCAGCTCCACTCACACCAGCACCAAACCGGACCCGTGTACTCAGGGCCCCACGTTTAATGCCAACAAAGAAAGAAGAGCCCAGGACGGACATAGCTGGCTGTAATGAGAAAGGGCTCTGGAGTGGGGCTCTCATCGGGAAGAGGAGATGCAGCTCCCCCATGCACCACCTCTCTCTCCAGGACTGAAGAAAGTTGTCTGCTTTTTATAAATAAATGGTTTGTGCAGGGAGGTGAACTAGGAGCACCCGGGGCAGGAAGTACCCCAGTGCCTGCTCAGGCTTGGCTAAGGTTAGCATGACAGGTCGTGGGCTGCTCCGCTCTTTCCGCAGGGCAGCTGAGGACAAGGCTTTTTCCCCGCAGCTGGCAAGCATCTGCCCGGGTGAGCAGCTTCCCTCCAGCGTATGCAGCTGTCGGCCACTCTCCGTGCTATAATCACAACCAGAAATGCTCCTCGGAGGCAGGTTAGAGGATCTTCCCCAGGGAAATGTCTCCGAGTTGACCGCTCTGGCAGCAGCCCTCCCCGACAGGTGAGGAGCACCACACTCCTGGTGAGGGGTGCCGGGAGGAAGGCGTGCAGCTGTGGCTGATCAAGGTGGGGAGGTTGCGGTGGGGAGGTCATGGTCAGAAGCCGTAAGCACAGGTCAAATGTCCTTCACCATAAGCTAAGGGTGATGGAGGGATAGGCGGGATGCCTTGTGCTGCCATCTGGGAGAGGAAGGCAAAGACCCAAAGGACTGAAAACACAACGAGCAGCCTGGGGTGCATCTAGGGGAGAGGGTTAGAGATCTGGAGGCTGTGGAAAGCCCTGCAGCAATACCAGGAGGATGGGATTTTCAGAGGAATGGGGAGATATGGGGCTTCTCTGAAAAGAGGGAGGGTTTGTGCCATGAGTGTAGTTCATCAAGAGTCGCAAAGAAGCACTGAACCATGATCTTCTTCCTCACATGGATTCCACAAATGCTGTGGAAATTCCCTGTGAATTTGATGGTGTCCAAGAAAGTTCACGGGGAAGCTAGAAACTGTGCACCCCAGAAGGGAGGGCTCAGAGCGGCAGGATCAGTTCACATCCGAGCAATGGAAGGGATTAGAAACATTGCTCAGCCTCAGCCCAAGCGGCCTCTTATTGGAACTGCTTATTTGAACTGTTTCTGAAAACATGGATTTCCAGTCAAACCTCTGTGCTGGCTCTATGCTGACCTCCATCTTTTCCTGCTGTTCATGCTCAGGCACGGCCATCGGGACCCAGGTTCCTCCTCCCTGCAGCGGGAACCCCTGCGCAGCCCCCAATCACTCACCTGCTGCCCCCCCTTCCTCGGGGCGGGGGGTTCGAAGGCTTCCCCGGCACAAGGAGGCCCCTCGAACGGAGCTGCGGTAGCGATCCTCTGCTTCTGGCTCAGCTGCAGCAGGAAACACCCTTCGTAAGGCATGGCTGGTGCGTGCCGGACCCCGCAGCTCCCCCATTCCTCCTCTCCTTATCAGGGCTCCCCCAGGCCTGTGGGACTCACAGCTGCTCTCTGAGCCCTACACTCAACCATGACCCTGTGCACAGCCTTGCTGGCACTGCGGCTGCCCGGCCCCCAGGTTGCTGCTCACTCCGTGCTCACGCTGGCCCTGGGGAGCTCAGCGGGTTACAAACGCTCCTGCCAGCACAGGGCAGGGGGATGGCTGCCCAAAGATGGGACATGCAATTGCTTTTTCCGGCAGGATTGGCATCCACCAGCTTATGGTGAACACAAAACTCCAGCCTTGAGCTAGGCTGGTCCAGAGGGACCTGGTTAACTCCTTCCCGCCCTCAAGGGACAAGATGGGAGTGGGAGCCAGCACCGAAATGCTGCCTGGAAGAACCACATTATCTAATGGATTGGTCCTTGTGCAGTTCAGTGCGACAGCTCAGAGAGGGTCAGACTTAAGCAGGATGAAGATACCAGAGCATCAGTCTCCGTGGTATCCAACAGACCAGTGCTCAGACAGCCCAATACACACAAACATCAGAGATCACCACTGAGTTTGGAAGAAGCCCAGATGAAGGACTAACCCAAATTCAGAGATCTCTGGCCATCGTGCTTCCATGCACAGACACACATGTAATGCACCAGAACAACCAGAACTTCACAGGTCAGAGATTGCCCCTTTCACCTGAGAAGCTGAAAGGAGCCAGGGACCAGCCTACAAATTGGGGACGAGTCTGAAACAGTTTGGTCCTGGGAGATTTACTCCTGTGCTTTCCTCCTCTGCCAGTGGCTGGAGACACCTTCCTTCTATTCCTGCACTATATTCCTTCTATAGCTGCAAACTGCAAATATATCGGCTTCTTCTGAGATCTTCTAAAGTTTATAAACTAATTTTAGGGTCTAAGTTCTTGGGAATATACAACCCGTTAGGTTGGTTGGGCCATGATTCTGCACACATAAAAGCAGTGATAATTGAGAGTGCAGATTAGGTGAGCAAATACCCAACAGTTTTCCATGCACAACGGGGAGTATTTGCACCAGGACTTGGAGCTGTTTCTCCCTGTGAGGGGAAAGGCTGTGCTAAAATAACTGTTCCTCCAAAAGTGTCTCTTCAACTAACACCTCCTTCACATGGTTCTAGCTACGCTGAGTCTAAAATAAACGTGTCAACAAAATGTAAAGAGCTAAGAATAGAATAATTTTAAAGCAATTAAGAAGCCCAAATCCATAAGACTAAGACATTTCACTCCAAATTTGCCCTCACTTTTCTGCTGTCTCACCGCAAAGCCCATAGTCCTCAGCAAACCACAGCTGGTTTTTGTGTTGCCACAGCGCCAGGTGATGGTGAGGGGAGAGGTGGACCGGGAAGAAGGAGAATTGCCGACCGCCTTCCAAGTCTCTTTGGGAGAGCAGCGCTCCTGGGCAGGCACGGCACTGCCAGGGCTGCCACGCTCCCCTCCTCCTCTAACCACGGATACCTGCGTATGTTGAACGGCTGGAGATGTCCCGAGGGACATTGCTGTCATCGCTTATTTTGCCGCTCTGATCTGAACACTGCCCTTAAAGCAGCCATTTCCCTTCAGGACTTCCTAACCTCTAACGACCCAAGCAGCTTCCAAAAACCTCTGCTACCGAGCCAGGTGCCATCTTTCCTCTCAATGCAGAGTTTCCTTCCAAAACTACATGGCTCCATGGTGCAGAAAAGGTAACATCTTGCCTGACATTTACAAATCAACCTCATCAGTAACAGGAGCTGGAATCTCCTCTGTGCTGCTCTACATCCTGCACAGCCGCCACCTCCGTGCAGGCAGCGTGTGGGCAGGAGCCAGGCAGGACAGAGCCGCAGCCGCTGCCCCTGGGGAGAGCTGGCTGCTCCCTTGCCCCCCCAGCCTGCTCCCAGCGCAATGGACTGAGGTCCCCAGGGACCCGGTGGGACACAGCATGTCCACGCCAGAGCGCAGGGACTTTTCTCTCACCTGCCAAGGACTTGTAACCAAGAAACCTGGCAATCTTTTGCTGGCAGTGCTCCTGCTCTTCATACGTCAGCAGCTGGTAGATAAACTGCCAAATGACTTGCTTGGCTGGTGTGTCCAGCACCGGGTACACATCCACAATGAGAGTGTCAATATTCCTGCAAAATTGGAAAAAGAGGGCTGGGCAGTGAGCGCATCCCTACGGCACAGCCCCACCATGCCGCTTCCCTGGGCTCCGGCACTTCCCAGCCTGCCTCCAGCCAGGTCTCAGCTGCCAGGCTTGCCTCTGAGCCTTTGGCATGAACAGATCATTTCAGAGCAGAGGTGCCAGGCTGCGGGCAAAGGACCGAGCCCTTTGGGAAGTGGAGTTGTGCAGCTGGTGCTAATGGGGAAAGCAAACTCCTGGGGACTGGCAGCACCTGACAGCCAGGTATAAAGCCCGGTTTGTGAGTCAGCTAGGGTGTAGGAGGAGCAAGATGGGTATCAAGGGGCAGAGGGGTGTTCTAGAAAGGCTTGGATTTTGGCTGGCAGTAGGTAAGTGTGCTCAGGGAAAAATGCATTGGAGAGGGTGGCTGGGCTGGCAGCCTTGCTGGGCTGAAGGCTTGGTCTCAGGTTGGCTCTGCAGGGTGTAGAGATGGCGAAGGGGCTGTTGAGAACAGCAGGACTGAGCACCTGATTCAGTGATGAGAATAAAGCAGCCTAGGGCAGGAGGGCAGTCCTGGATCAGACAGCTAGAGTCAGGCTGCTTGTGTACTGAGAAGCTGAGGCAGAGATGTTGGGTTAAAGCTCACTGTGACTATTGCATCCTTAATGTAGAAGTAATAGTAAGAACCTCTTATGAAGAGCTGGAAAGAGACTGTATATGTAGGAATAAATCTGTTGTCTTGATGTTAATTGAATAAACTATTACTGCTTCCTAAGGAGCAGGGGCCAGGTACTCAGGGAAGAGCTGAAGGTTAAGAGGCTCAGATGCTGCAAGGGCTTCATTAATAAAGTGTCTTGGGGGGTCCTCAGGCCAGAGGGATGAGAAGTTGTAGGAGTCATCTAGGGCCTGCCAGGAGTTACCTGCTAAGTTTCTCCCTAGTTTTTGGCTGATTTGCTTTTTGTGTGGAACTGGAAACATCTCTTGACTGTCACAAGGCTATTTCCCATTCAGAAGAGTTACAGTAGTGTAGAGGAGCTGCTGAGGCAAGGGGCTGCTCTGCCTTGTGAAGCCTCTGTTCCTCTGGCTTGTCCTGTGCAAACTGGCTGGAGGGGGGCCAAAGCCCAGAACAGGGGTGTTGTGACTCTGTCTCCTGTGTTTGCTGCTTGGAAATGCTGATATCTGTGTGTGGTGGTGGCAAGCAACATAAACTTAATGTTTGGGGATTTCCCTCCTTGTTGGAGCAGTTAGAGGTTGCAGCTGGCCTGTCTGGGACAGGCTCACAATTAGGTCATGATGAATTATTGTTAAATGGGGCAGTGGCCACTGCATTGAGCCATCTGGGGCAGCTACAGGCAAAATGAAATGGCCAGGGGAGAGGGTGGCCGTGCCCGTGCCCCTGCTGCACCTTGCTCCCCACAGGCAGCAGCGACAGCCCCTGGTAAAACACTGCTGGAAGACCAAGCAATGTGTGCTGTCTTGTACTGGGAAGGGACCTGGGGGCTCAATTTGTGGGTACTGGGGTTCCCATCCTTGTGTCACTGAGCAGGACCTAGGATTGGGTTGGTGTTTCCCAGTTGCAGACCACAAGGACTGGATCTGCTCCCACAGCTGCAGCTCCTTGGGCTGAAATGCCCAACTGGGGAATGCCATAAAGCAGTGCAGCCTCAAGGGAGCACAAAGCAATGACTTCTGCTTTTCTGGGGCAATGTTAGTGATCATGGGGCCTCAAGAGGGTTCACTCAGCTGGTGCCAGGGGATTTGTGTAGCTGGGCCTCCCCCAGCACCTGTGGGTCCAGAGGCAGCCCAGCTTCCCCACAGGCAGGGGGATGCTGCGGGGTGGTGCAGCCCTCAGCCTGAGCTGTGGTGCACAGGGGCAGTGCCGTGGTGGTGTTCTTGGTAGTTTCTGTTCTCTCTTACCATCATAACCTGAATACTGAGGGCTTTACTGCATTTCCTTGTCAAACTGAGGATTTAGATCCTCCTGATCCTTCAGTCTTTGCACCAGCTGGCTGCTGCACCATTGCAGCAGGAGCCTGGCTGGCCCTGGCTGGTGCATCCACAGCCTGTGTGGGACCTGGGCTCCCGAGGAGCAGCTGGGCAGCTCAGCATCTGTGGGAAGAGGCAGCAGGCAACTCCCAGTGCCTGGGGGGATGGCTTAATCACCACGGTGCAGAAAGGTTAAAGATCAAGAGCAGAAAACAAGGTCACTATTGAAGGTCTCAAGCCTGCCAGGGGATGGTTGCAACCCTTGCAGCAGGGCAGGATGTGCTCCATTGCAGGATGAGGGCTCTGCCAGCCACAGCTGTTCCTGTGCTGCCACCAAGGGAGTGCTGCAGCCAAGGTGCTGAGAAGAGTGATAAGGATGAAACAGTGAGATTTACTGAAAGAGGTGGAACAGGATCTCTGACTGTTGGGGACAGCCGGACAGCAAGAGAGCCCATGCTGTGGGACACCAAGGTCATTTTAGGAGGGATTAAGAGGTGACCAAACTAACCTCAAAAGCTAAAGGGTCTGCCCTTTCCTGGGGCAGGACATGTGGTGAGAGATGGACTTGTGCCCTGCGGTCATGCAGAGGGAAACACACAGTTGGGGAAACCAGAGAACATGATCACAGCAGAGCTGAGCGCTGACAGCATTGCAGCTAAGGTCTGCCTTCTGCTTGGAGACCAGCTGTGACATGGGCATTGCTTCCAGGCCAGGTACCAGCATTAGAGGAATGGAGCTGCTAAGGAGTTACCGATGTTGGAAGAAGCCTTCCAGTGCTTTGCAGATGGTATAGCGCTCAGGTGGAGTCAGCAGGTGCTCCAGCTGCTGGTTGAAGGTCCTTCCTTGAATCTTGATGCTAGAGGGGAGTATCTCTGCAACCCACTGCAGAGAGGTGAGGGCGGAGGAGGTACTCAGGGAGTCAGCAGAGTCAGAGTCTGCAAGGCGCAGGTAGAAAGAAGAAAGAAAATTCAACAGACAAAGGGTCTTAACCATGGGTTAAAGGGCTTGTCCTGAAACCAGGGTCAGTTCTAGGGCAGCTGCACCCACACACAGTGGGTGTTCCATAGAAATACAAATTCTGATGTGCTGATACAGACACTGTTACCCCAGCAAAACCAGATGTCACCATGCTGCCTTCCAGCAACCAACAAGGTGAAATGGCTCATCTGGAGCTGTGACTGCCCCTGCTTTCCTCCCATGATCCAGACCAGTTGCTCTGGAGCTTGTGGCTGTTCCAGTAGGTCTGTGGACCTGCTGGAGATGAGCAGGGATGTTTTGATTGGGATGCTCTCTGGGATCTCTCTCTTCAACCATGCTGCTTCTGCACTTTCTGTGAATGCATGCAGATGATTCCTTCTCTGGCTCTCTAAAGCCTCTGCTCAAGTTCTAAAGCACTTTACATTAATCATTGACTTCAAAAGCAGCAGCCGTCAAGGGTTACCTGTGAGTAAACTGTGGCATGAAAGGTAATTTCCTTTGCTATGCTCATCTGCACCAGTCCCTGTGGCCCTGCCTGGCTGCCTCTGCAGTGAGCACAGCTGGGAGAAGGGACCCGACTGAGACTGTGGGATGCTCTTATCTGCCTAGGAATATGGCCAAGGCAGTGGGAGCACAAAATTCCATCTTTTCTTGGTTTCTTTTGGGGTGGGGCAGCGAAGCAGTTTGAATGCCACTGGCTCTGAACTATGAAGTAGCAAGGTGCTCAGTTTTTTCTAGGGCATGTGCAAATGAGTTAGTAACACAGGGCTCCTACTGTGAAGCTCAGGAGACTCCACTGCTGCTCTGGAGGGAAGAGCCAGTCCCTAATTCCTGGGCCTATACATTGAGAGCAGCACCCCAATAACGCACTGACCCTCCTGCCTTCACACAGCTTTGGAAACGTGGTGGTGACCATGCTCTGCCCTGGGCTGCAGTCCTGCCCCTCTGCTGAAATTGTGCTGACAACCACCCGCATTGCTCCAGATACCCTCATCTCCTGCTGACTCTCTCACCAGCAGCAAGCTAAATTATTCATAACAGCAGCAGTTACTCTGAACAGCACAGTCCCTACACAACCGTGGGATTTGCACAGTGACCATGGATGCACAGGGTTGGATTACTTCGGTCAAGTACATGGCACAGACTGCATGAAAAGGACATTGTCAAGGACGATCATACAGAAGGATGAACCCTTCTGGAGAGCAGCCAAGCTTGAGATTAAGCCTGATCCCAGAAAGCAGGCAGCCACGTGCCCCAGCCGGAGGAGCAGCAGCCCCCCCAGGCAGCAGTTAAACCTGCTGAGCCTACAGAAGGTATTTGGCAATTCCCTCCTGCACGGGGAACTTGGGAGCCAGCACGGGGTTTCTGCTGCTCCGGGCCCTCTCCTCCCCGCGCTCTTACCGCTGGAGAAGTTGACGATCCCCTCTTCTACCACCAAGGTGGGCATCGCCCCGCTGCCCTGCAGCATCGACACCACCTTGTCATGGGAGCAGTTCCTGCAGGGCACAGGAGAGCCGGGGTCAGAGCTGCCAGGGTGGCTGCCTGCGTGGGCAGCACTGCAGGCAGCAGCTTGCAGGAGAGCAGTGGTGAAATGGAGTTTGCAGCTGCCTTCACTGAATTAGCAAAAAGCCTCATCTTGCTGCTCAGAGCCAGGCAGTGTTGGGCCCCGCTGTGATTCCACTGGACTCTCAATCTTTGCTTGGTTTTATCTGTGCTGCTCAGAAAAGAGCCTCCCTGAGGGAGAGCGTGAATCTTGCCCTGTGTCTGGGCTCTCGGCTGTACCTGCAGCATGGAATAACTGCAGGGCATGCCAGCGAGCACGCTGCGGAGCTGTTATGGCAAATGAAGCCAGCGTTACTTTAAGCTATGCTCAGACCCAGAAGATGAACTTTCAATTTAGATGATACAGTGCAAGTCTCTCCTTGCCTGTCCTAATTCTGCATGAAAAGAAAATGCAAGGTGGATATAAAATGCCCTTTTTTTTTTTGGCAAAACTTTTTTTTTTGGTAAAAGTCTTGGAGTGCCCTTGGAGAAGGGTATGGGCCAGCCTGGGACAATGCCTGCCAAAATGTGGGCTCAGAGGACAATCTTCAACTCGGTCTCCTCTATTTTCTGGCAATGCTACATCAGCCTGCAGTTTGCTGGACCAGCTGAAATGTGAGAACCTGAGCACTGACAGAAGCAGCATCAAATGTTTAACCTTTAAATATTCATTACTCTCTCTTATTGTGTAGCTGCTTCTAACCCTTTGCTCTCACTTTTTGTCCAGAAAGACCAACCTGAAAAAATACAGGCTGCTGCCACTGCCCAGCAAGGTGCACATTCAGCTCTGGTGCGATTGCTTTTGTTGTGCACAAATATAGAAGAATTAACTTCTGGGTGGAAATGTGATTATCCATGTGATTTTTAAGCTTGTGATTGCATTCTGGGAGTGATTTATGGGCTGGGTGGTGCTCTGCTCCCTCCAAAAGCAGAGCCACAGGTGATTAACATGTACAACTTAACTCACAGTGGCTCAAATCAGGGTCTGTGAGTGGGCTGCAGTCAGGACACTAGTTATAGTGTGTCATGCATTATACATGGTTATTTGCACACAGAAGTCAAAGGAGCAGGGATGGAGCTGAAATACTATTCTTGGAGCCAGTTTTTGTAGAGGAATAGTAAAGGAGATGCCTATATGGGGCAAAATGCCTTGTGTACCTCAGTAGACAGCTCTCACAGACAACCCATTCTCGTTTCTGTCGCACAAGAGCGAACAAGTGAACACACTTGTATCTGGCTACCTACCACCCCCTGGGACCCCTCTTAAAGACCCTCTTACCTCATATCCAGACCATTGAGGAATAGGATCCGGTCTCCAGCTTTGAGAGCAGCCTTCTCAGCTGGGCTCCCTAAATGCACAGGGAACGAGAGGGGCTTTAGCTGGCGGACCCCCGCTTACAGGGATGGGGTCCCAGCTCTCTGGCCACTCTGTGCCCAGGGACGCCCCCAGGGCAGGGTATCTGCTGCAGCTGGATTATTTGGGTGGGCTGGAGCTGTTCACTGGGCACAGTGATGCCAGTGCCCAGCTTGCATTGGAAATGCAGGTGTGATTATCAGGCAATTCACTGAACGCAGACAATTTCTACCTTGCAAAACAGGGAGTCCATAAAGTCAAACTAAATTGTACCAAAGATGCCAGTTATTCAAACTGGGAAAAGTCCATCACTGAGTCTCATAAAAGTCCCTTTTGCTATTTTTGAGCAAACAGCAAGCACTTCAAATTGCAAATTCAGACCATAAATAAATAAGCGTCTTTGAATCTTGTGGCTGGAGGTGTTCTTACCTGGCAGAACAGACTCAATCCACACTGGGGCATGGCCACGTAGCGTGAAGCCAAAGCTTCTGTTGCCTTTATAAACTCGCACAGTTCTGCAGGTGAAAAAAGCAAATGTGAAATCAGAGCCCAATATTTGGTTCTTGCTTCCTTTCCCAGCCCCTCCAAAACCCCGTTAGCCCGGGTGTCTCCTGAGCGCCCAAGGCTCCCTGTCCCCCCGCAAGGTCCCCCTTGGTACCAGTGTCTTTCAAATGGGAGCCCCCGGAACGTGCCCTGCCCACAGGGAGTGGGGATGGAGGGAAGGTGTGTGCTGTTTTGGTGGCCCTGGATGAGCACAGTGCAGCTGCCTGTCCTGCCAGCACGGACAGCTTCTCCTGCCTGCAGCCTGCCTGTGCTGGGGAGCAGAGGGAGCCCACGGCACTGAGCCGGTGGAGGGGAGTCATCTGGGGGGTGCTAGAAATGGCCCACACAAAACTTTGGGGATCTGAATGCTCTGGAGGCAGGAAGAGATGCCTCTGTTTTAGGGGCAGACCTCTTGCTCTGCATTAATTACCAAATTAATAAAAACACCATCTAGTCCTTCAAATCCAATGTCTTTTTAAAGTGGAACATGGGATGTAGCTTATATATTACATAGAATAAGAGAGATTATGTGTTTTAGGGGGCAGAGATCTTGTAGACTGATGAGAGAGAAATTAAATTCAGCTAGGAAATTTTGGAAGGAGCATTAGGAACTCTCCCTGCTGGGAGGCTGATTGGAGCTGGGAGCTGTTTCCCGCAGGGAGCTGGGGGAAGGCAACATCACTGACATCATTTAAAGCCAGAAAGCCTGTTATAGGAACCAATCCTATGCTGGCAAGGAGGGAGACTGTTCTGGAACTGGATTTTGGATAAGTCACACCAAAAATTATCCTGGTGGGAAGGTGTGCTGCAGCCAGGCACCCTGGAGATACCAGCTGGAGGCAGGGGAATAGCTTGGGACATGTCTGTGACAGCACAGTCCCTTTCTGGGAAGATTCCCTGGCTGTGCTGGCAGACCAAATCCTGCTCTCTCGTTTGTGAGACAGGGCTGAGAGCAGAGCAGGAGCCACCGCCAGCGCAGCAGGGCTCCTCGGCCCTCCGGAGCTGCTGAGGTCTGGCCATATGGCAGTGGGAAATGGGTTAATCCCCTGTGCACCAGGGATTGTCCGTCCTTCCTCCCACCGCCTCGCCCCCAGACATCCGCCGGGGCAGGGCAGGACGATACAGCCAGTTCTGTGCCCGGGTGCCCTGCATCCCGCCGGCACAGCCAGGCACCCTGCGGCCCCCCAGCACAGGAGCCAACACCCCCTCGCAGCCTGCAAGTGCCATCTTGGCTCCTCACGCGGCTTGTCCCTGCCAGCCCTGCAACAGTGAGGGGACAGAAAGGGTGGCCTGGAGGTGGGACAAGGGGCTTAAATGTGCCCAGCCTTTGAGAGGGAGAGGTCTTTGTTCATCCTCATCCCAGGAGGATTTCACCCACTCTGCACACCAAAGAAATCCCCTTTCCTAGTGCCTTTCCCCTTTCCCTGCCATCCCTCCCGCATGCTGCCATCCACAAGAAACCGGACGCTGCAGCTGTGAACTCAGGGCATCCAGGAGAGGTGTTACCTGCGGGCAGCCCCCGAGGCCACATTGCTGGTGATGAGCGAGGTGGTTTTCCGCAGGCTCTTGCTGACCTCCTCGTGGCTGCGGGGCACGGAGCTGGCACGGGTGGAGACAAGGAGCCGCTCCTGATGGTCCTCGCTCCGGCTGCGCCGCAGCCGGTTGCTGTGCTGCTCGCTCTTGGAGCGGCAGAGCTTGCTGATCAGGCTCTGTGACACCACCTCGTCAAACCGCTGCCGGTGCTTCTTGGGGATGAAAATCCTGGAAAAACAAGACAAGGGAGGGGAGTGAGGAGTGGGGCTGGGGGGGGCCATGGCCCAGAGCTCTGCATTCTGCCACGGGATCCCATCCTGGGAAAGGAAAGGTCAGTGCAGCCCCAGCCCCTCATGTGCTCTTGGCCTCAGACCTCCCCAAAGCTGCAAATGCCAGGGCTGGGGATGCTGGGGACACTGGCTGCGTCTCCTGCCCCGTCCTGTGCATGACTCCATTGGGGCGAGGAGGTTGGACCCCTCCACAGTGTAGTGCTCGCAGAGACCGATTCAAACATCCTGGTTCCTCCTCATGCATCCCATCCCTGACTCCTTCAGCTGCCAGTCCTGGTAGACTGATGATGAGGTTCAGTTCAAGTCCCAGATGAATTGCTTCCCCCCATGCTGACAGCCAGGGAGCTGGCCAGACTGTCCCCCCCACAGTGCCCATCCCGCTGCAACCCTGCTCCTTGCTGCGTGGTACCCATGGCTGGGGGTTCCAGCGTGCAAATGCCACCTGTGTTGCCAGTGCCTAACTGCCTCCTCCAGACCTGCTGCTTCTGCAGCACATTCTGGGACCCTCAGAATACTGCTCCCCATCTCCTGCCCCAGCCTCTCTGCTGGGAGCTCTGGACTCCACTCTCCTGGGCTCCAGCCTTGGCTTCTGCCACCCCCAACTCCCACCACAGCCAGGCAGGAGCCTCACGCCCCTTGAGAGACGCTGGTGCTGTGGGGACAAGGACAGGTGTGGTGATGCTGCAGGCAAGGGAACACCACTGGCAACTTGCTCTGTTTCAGGTCACCTCCCCTCTGCCAGCAGCCAAGTGGTCTTTGTGCCCGCCGAGAGCACACTCCGGGACGCTTTGGGGATGCACAGCACGTGCAAAGTGGAATCCCGGGGGGAAATGAGGAGGGTGCATCTCCACCACTCCCATCCTAGCTGGGGGTTCACCCCTGTAACATGGGGAAACACTTTTCCTTTTCCTTCTGCCATCACAACAGTGAGATGCTGACACCCCGCTCACCTACCTCCTACCATCCCATTTGCACATTTAGGGGCTTCTGGAGGAACTGTTATCTCCGTGTGTTTCTATAGCAACTCCTCCCTGCACCCATACCGGGCTGCCTGTCGCAGCTGCATTTGCTCGTTAGACAATACCATCTTGTGAGGTTCATTAGTGCTCTTCACCTCATGGCGCATGAGAACGCGCTCCCTACATTAACACAAACTCTGACACTTGCGGTGGAGGAGGGATGCGAGCATCACCTCCAAACCGCCCGGGGAACGCATCTCGGGGGGGGCACTAACCGGGCCAGACTTGGAGCTGGCGTCAGAGGTCCCAGAGCAACTTGCTCTGAGGGGCTGTACCTTCCTGCCGCCAGCGCAACATGGCTGTGACGATGGCCGGCTGCTAACGGAGCGTGGCTGGAGAGGCTGGGGCTGGCCTGGGGCTCCTATGGATCTCCCCCATCCCCTGGGCAACTTTGCCAAAGAACCCTGAAAGCCTGGGGGAAGCCAGAGGAGAAGGAAGGGGAGGCTTCAAAGCCCAAATTTACCAGGACCAGGACATCTCTGTTTCTCCCCAACAAAATGCAGAACTCAAAATAAGAGCTGATGCTCACATTGAGTAGGAGCAGACAGATAGTAAGCCACCCCGCGGCTAACATATGCTCACGCAAAGCATTTGGTGATAATGTAAAATAAGTAACACATTGGTACAATTCACAGTCAATTTGTCATTAAGCATCAACTAGAAAAGAGTGAAATCATGCTAATAAATAGTTCACCCAGCTGTAAGCAGGCTTCTGCAGGAACACAGGCTGCTGCAGCCCTGTGCCAAGGGAGGAAGGAAGGATGCTGCATGGCAGCAGTGAGTCCTGGCAGGACCCCACACCTCTGCCCTGGGACAAGTCTGGGTTCCTTGCGGGCAAAACGAGCACACTCCCATTAAGTTGGCCAAATTAAATCGGCCCTGCTCATTCCAGCAGGGGTGTCCCACTTTGCACTGACTGCTACTTCGCCTGCGGGCTGACAAACATCAGGGTTGAGGAGCAAAGTACGGCTACCTCAATAACCAGGCACAAGGACATGCTTTAAGGGTTTCACCATGAACTGACTCAGTGCTAGAAGTAAAACGGTGTCTTAGCAAGGAGAGGAGCTAATTGACTGGTAAAAATAATCCTATTAAAGCATGTAAAATAGTTTTCTTCTGCAAAACCCTTAGAAAGAATTTGCAGCACAGCCTCGGGGAGCCCAGGATTGCCCCATGCCACAGAGCTGCTGGGGCTGGATCCCCCAAGCTCCCCGATGCCCTGTGGTTCAAAAATGACCTTCAAGGTGTGTGTGCTCAGCTCTGGTCCTTATCGAGGGACCCACCAAAGGCAGCACATGGGGTGTTGTTAGACGGTGTTGATGCCTCAGCCTGTCCTCTGCTCCAGCACAATGCCACCCATGCAGTACGCACTGGCACCAGCACCAGCACTGGCACCGCTGGGATGGATGGTGCCCAGCGCCCAGTGAGAAACTGCAGCTATTTCTGCCTTAACCTGCTGTCCTGTGGGACAAGCCTGGCTTTGCCCATGAGTGTGGCAGAGGTGCAGCACCCAGCTGGGGTTTCCCTCTCCCCGCAAAGCCCACGGGGGTGCGGGGAGCATGGCTGCACCTGCCCTGTTTGCAGAGGTTAGCCTGGGACCAGGGGCAGACTCCGTGTCCCAGCAGCTTGCAGGCTGTGCATGCCCATGGGAGGGCTTGGGAGCTGCGCAGAATCGTCCTTGTGCCTTCAACTTCCTTTTCCTCCTCTTTGTGAGCCTCAGGTCAGCCCTGGCACTGTTCCCTGTTGGAGAGGGGACAGGAAAGGTGTCCCCAGCCCTGGGCACTGCAGCCCTGTGCCTGCTCTCTGGCCCCGGCGTAGGGTGTGCCTGAGCCCTGGTGCACTAACCCTCCTCTGCAGCAGC